CCCCCCCTCCCCCCCCCGCGCGCGCCGAGGTCGTCCCCCTCTAACCCATAACCCCCTTTTCCCCTATTCCCCTCACCCCTTTCTTCCCCCTTGGCCCACCATTCCTCTCTCCCCTCCCAAAATCAACAAAATAACGCCCACCCAATGTTAGTAAAAGTGATATGATGATGGAATCCTCGCTTTCCCATGTGTCGTGCCGAAAGATAGATACATGAATGATGATGATGCTTTTGGTGTGTCTTGGACAAGAAGAAAAAGTGAAAAAGAAAAACGCCTCTTCCACCTCTCTCTTCTCTTTCTCTGTTTCTCTTTCCTCATTCCGCTTTTCCCGCTTCCCACCTTTTTCTATAACCCTATGCATCCCAGTTATTCCTCGCTTTTCCCTCCTCTTGAAAACAGGTCCCTCTACTCATAAGACATTATCAGGTAGCCCCCTCTCCTCTCTCTCTCTGGAATCTCCCCTTTGTGTGGTATATACCTTTGGCGGTGACGGTGTTGTTGATGTGTTCGAGGTGGGTCGACCAGGTGAGAGGTATTGTTGCCCACGGACTTGGCTTGTTGTCGTCTGATCCGTCCGGGTAGCGGTGTGATTGTTGTAACCAACTTCGGCGTGCCCACGGAACAACGGGTGCCATCCAATTGTCCCTGCCGCCCATACGAATGTGTCTGATGGGTGCCACTAACGTTGATCGGCCACTGGATTGACTTGCCCTCCCTCGCTGATGTTATCCGAGCCAGTCCCAGTGAAGGGTCCAGCGGGTAGCATCGACCCGTCCGCCTCGTATGTGCCTGTCCGTGATCATGCCACCGATCACGTTTGAACTCCAAAGTATATATCGACCGCGCCACCAGTCCTTCGCATCCTCAACCAAGGGTCTTCGACCACGCCACTGGCCACCCTTCCCTCCGTTCCCCTCCTCCTGGGTATAAGATATGTGAACCGTGGACTTCGTGACCCCGCCGTTTCGTCCCAAATGATGAATACAACACTGCGGCAGCCTCCAAAAACCTCCAAAAGAAAACTATGAAGCACTGTATAGGCGTTATGCACACAGAAAAAAAGAGTTAAGGAAGCTACGTAAAATTTGGGGGTATCTTTCGTCATCAATGATTCTCTTGCCCTCCTCCGCTGACACCTTCATCGTCTCTCGGCTCCTTGTTCCTCCACTATGCTGACTGTCGTTGGTCCTCTTGGGGTTTCGGTCTTTGCGTCTAATATCATCGAGTGCTGGTGGTGTACTCTTGACATGTTGAGGTGTAGCCATAGGACCCTTCTCGTCGTCGGATAGCTTGTGCGGTCCTAGGTATGGCTATGCGCTGCTATTAGGGGTTAAGTTCTGAACCACTCGATCATCTACGACCGGTGGCCCCCACCCCTGAATATTTCCATCTCTACTTGTAGTAGCGATCAATCCACTTCTCACCCTATAACCAAATGGAAGAAAAATCTCGAGTTAGCAGTTTGTTCCTTTGCCATGAGTTGCTGCAAAGCCGAGCATCCAAAGTGGCAAAATGGCCAAATCGCAAAGGGTGGTTTAAATTCCAAGACCGCTGGTGCTGGGTTCGACTACATTATCGGAGAGGTTGATGAGGAGCTGCGCCAGGCAACGCTTGGTGGCGGCATCGTCGCGCAGAACCGAAGAGAAGGTGGCGTCGCGAAGGGGCTCTGGCAGACACTGGCGGAGTGCCTCGCGGGCACGAGCATTGTCGCTAAGTCTGTTTGGATGATAAGTCAGTACAGAGACCTACCAAAAATCGAGTAACAGGGCGAGAACATACCTCAAGAAGCACCTAACAACATGTTTGAGAAGCCTAGCCGTCTGCTGCTCTACCAGCTGAGCAACCATGTTGCTGAGGACGGTGCCGACAGCGTAGAAGCGCTCATAAGTGGCACAAATGTAGTTAAGACCGTTGTCATCAAGCAAGATCTTCTGCACGATGAAGATAGCAACCGTCTTGCTGAGCTCGGACCCGGTCTCCATGATCCTCAGGCAGAGGGGGATAATCTCGGTCGTAAGGAGAAAGTTGATGACCTCGGTGGAATCGTTCTTGACAAGCGCACCAATGACTCCCAGCGAAGTGAGCCGGAGGTATTCAAAAGGACGCGACTTAGACGTCGTGTTAAGAAAGGGGTAAAGGAAGAGGGGGATGTGTGCTGAGGAAAAAAAAAAGGTTAGCAGGCTAGTCGGTCCTGGCTTGTAACAAAGGGGCACCTACCATTGAGGAAGAGGGTACGTGTCTCGTTGTGAGACGCCACACACTGAAGGAGGGCGAGGGCATTGCAGACCCTGTTGGAGGCGGCAGCGGTGAGCTGAGAGGGGTTGAGGAGGGTATAGACACTGATAATCTCCTGGAGGAGAGATGTCATGACTCCTAGACATGGGGGTTAGCGCATGATCGATCGGCGGGGGGAAAGGAGGGGGAGGGGCTCCGAGGTATAGGTCGGCTGTACTTACCGAACGAGTGCCAGAGGATCAGGGCCAGTTCGGGAACTTGCTCCCGCTTCTTGCTCAGCTCCAGGAGCGCGGCCTCCCTGGTATTTTCATTCAGCAAGTCGGCAATGTACTGCAGTGTGCGGCGGTTGTCGTCCGAGACCACGGGCTCAATGGCATTATCCTGCGCGTGGGTGGCGGCAGCAAGGGCGTTCACATTGTTGTGTGCGCCGGCCAGGCGGTTGTAGTGCTGCTGCTGGGCAACATTGGCGGCGGCGGCAGCAGCCTGGGCGTGCTGATGGTGCGAGGTCTGCTGGTGAAGCCAGGCAGAGTCGGCCTGGGGGTACTGGTGGTGGCCGTAGACATGGGGATTCTGCATCATCTTGGGCTATGTGTTCGAACGAAGAAATGGTAGCGACGGCGCGAGGTAGTGGGTCAAAGACGTCGGAGCTGTGTGGGTATTAATCGATGGAGGACTCGGGGTGGCGCTATTGTTGTTGTTGGTGGTGGTGGTGGTTATTATCTTTCGCCAGGAACTTGACGATGGGGCAACGGCAGGCCGGGCGGCATGAGAGGGGTGTCGTCGGGCGCAGGAAGGGTCCTTCTCGATTGCGAATATCAGACAGAGCAGCGGTCAACAACGGCGTCGTCGGGCGGGTCGTGTAGAGTAAGGTAGACAAGTGGGCGAGGCGGCGTCGAGGCGGGTAGCGAGGAGGTTGTGCTTTGAGCAAGCGGGCTGTTGAACAAAGGCGGCGGCGGCGGCGGCGGCGGCGGCGGCGGATTAAAGTGCAGATTGCAGAACACCTAGTCACAGGCCCGGCAGGCAAGGCTTGACGATCGCGGCGGGTCTTGGAAGTACAGTACGTATGTATTGGTATGAAAGCGAAATATGGAAAAAATGAGTGAGTGTTGGTGTTGTGGGTAGAGAGGTCACGGTAGAGTTGGAGTCGGTGACGGTGACGGAGGTGGATATGTAGAGTGAGTGAGTGGGTGGTGGTCGTATGTATTGTGGTGTTGTCGGCGGCCAAGAAGGGAATCAAGCAGATGAAAGAAGAACGAAGAGCTGCCCGGTGGATGGCGGCGCCCACCCGCCTGCTGGAGTCGACTCGTCTCCTGCTCCTGCCGGCGTTCGAGGGTCACACCCACTCACCCACAGCGGCCAGAGAGCGGTCCAGAGCCGCACCCGACGGGGACAGTTTGCGCACAGACCATCAAGCTTAACGTGTGGGGAAGCTTCGGTCCAGTGCTGGATTCCGAATTCACAGTTAACCCTGGAACACGGCAGTGGTCACATATAACCCTGCGATGGTCAGGGGATAATACGCCCTGATTGGATGACAGCTGCCGTCTGCATTTCGAGATCCAATCTGCTGTCTTTGGTGAATCAAAATTCGGGTGATCAACGCTTTCTGACTCCCAGTTGGATGAAATCGATGGAAGGGGGGAGCAGCAGAACCTGCCATAATTCCAAGTTCCGTCCGGAAGAGCAATCAATATACCGTGACTGTCTCTTCATCCCATCTCAGATTGTTATCAGCCTTACATTACAAGAAAGCATGCACTGGCGTTTCCTTCCCCATCTTTGAGGTGATGTCTATCATTAATGTGAGACGAAGTTGAAGAGATTGAATGCTTGTAGTGGAATACGCAGTGATATCAACTTAACGTCCAACACCAGGCTATCCCTTTCCTCTGCGCAATGATATCTTATTCCCCTTCAGACCACCAAGCCTAGCCTAGGTATTTTTTAACAAAAGGCCACACACACACACATAAACACCAGAAAATGCAGACCCCTTTTCCTTTCCCGTCTCATCTACCAGACGCCGTCCCTCTACTTCCTAACCCTAAAAGTCTTCAACACATTCTTCCTCCCCCCAGGCCCCTTCTTATACTTCCCATGCCCACCTTTTCCACCCTTGGCCCTCTTCTTGCCTCTCGTCTTCTTATCGTCGCCCTGCTTCTTAAACGGCACGAACCCAATCTGGCTTTCCGTGAGCGCGTTCTTGCCGTCCTGAGGCAGCAAGTAATCAGGCACGTGCTTGAGATGGGCTTGCTGGCGCATCTTGGTGCCGAGCTCGCCGTCGTGGCGCAGGTGCGAAAGCTCGTGCGGGTTCTCTTCAAAGTAGCGCTTGAGCGTCTCGGAGCGCAGGAGTTCTTGTCGCAGTTCGCGGGTGCGGGCTTCGCGGATGGCGACTTTTGTTACGGCGCGGAGGGCTATTGCTCAGTTAGAGAATGAATGGTCAAAGGGACGAAAATATAAGGGGGAAGGGGGTACTGACCATCATTCATGCGGTAACGGAAAGCCTCCATCTGGTCCTTGTTAAAGTTGTACGGCTCCAACTTGCGGTTGAGCTTGGCCTGCTGGCGCATCACCTTGGCCAGAACCTTCTCGTCCTTCTCGCACTGCTTGATGCTGGTGGGCTTGTGCTTGCCAAAGAGATCGTGAGGGACGACCATCGATAGAGCAATACCGGCGCGGCCGGCGCGGGCGGTGCGGCCTATCCGGTGAATGTAGGAAGAGGAAGAAGTGGGCATGTCAAAGTTGATGACGGCGGCGACGTTTTTGAAGTCGATGCCTAGGAAATTTGGTTAGTATCCAGAACCATGTAGAACCAGAAAGCAGACAGACTTACCTCGCGAAACACCATACTCCTGATCCCTCCTGCCCTTCTTCTTCTTTCCCTTGCCGTTCTTCTTCTCCTCGCCCTCCTTCTTTTCACCTTGCTCCTCCTTCTTCTCCTCAGTCTTCTCATCCTCCAAGAAAACCTCGCTCCTCTCATCCGACGCAATGATGATATCATAGATACCCCTGTTAAACTCCTCGATAATCTTGATCCGTGTATTAATCGGCAACTCCGAGTTCAGCACACAGCTGCGAATGCTAAACTGCTCGAAAAACAGCTTCAAGCGGTACGCACGATCGATGTCCGCCACAAACACCAGACAGGGGCCCTTGATCAGCTGCAGCTTGAAGATCAGGTAGCTGATGAGCCACTTGTCATCCTCGCCGCACTTGACGTAGAACTGGGTGAGCTTCTCGTCCTCGTTGCTGAACTCCTCCTTCAGGTCCAGCATGGTGGGGTTGCGGCAGAAAAAGCCCTTGAGCGTGTCGAGCTCGTCGGAGACGAGAGTGGCGCTCATCATGGTGGTCTGCACACCGCCCTTGGGCAGCGAGCGGGCAATGTTCTCCATGTCTTCGTCGTAGCCGTAGGACAGGACGAGGTCGGCCTCGTCGAGCACGAGGTACTGCAGCTTGGCGATGCTGAGAGCGCCGGACTCGATGTTGTGCCAGGCGCGGGCGGGGGTGGAGACGATCACGTCGGGGGCGTTGGCGAGGAGGGAGCGGAGGACGGCGTCGGACACGTTGTCGGTTAACTTGGCGGATTGGATGTCCTTGGTGCAGAAGGCGGAGAAGGCATCAATGGCTTTGTGGACTTGGTCGGCGAGTTCGCGCGTGGGGACGAGGATAAGGGCGGAGGTGAAGGGGGTTGGGTCGGTCTGTTTGGTTTCCTTTTCGTTAGCATCCGACCCTCTCACAACTTATTCTCCCGGGTGTCAAGGTAACTCACAGCCTTCCTCTTAAGAATGCCGCTCAACACAGGCAACACATATGCCGCCGTCTTGCCCGATCCCGTCTTCGCCTTGCACAGCACGTCCTGGCCCGCCAGCGCAAGCGGGATCGCCTTCCTTTGCACGAGCGTCGGCTTCTCAAAGCTCTGTTTCGCAACAGCCTGCACAAGGCGAGGGTCGAGACCCAGGTCGGAGAAGGTCAAGTCGGCATCGTCCTTTTCACTCTGCTTCTTCTCGTCCTTTTCGTCTTGTTGTTTTTGCTCGTCCTTTAGTTGTTGCTCGAGCTCTTGCTCCTCCTCGGTTTGTTGCTGCTCTTGTTGTTGGGTCGCTTCGGGCTTCTCCTCCTGTGTCTTGACATTCTGCGACTTGGACTTCTTCTCCTTCTTTTCCTTCTTCTCGGTTGAAGACTTCTTGGTCTTCTTCTGGGTCTGAGGCTCGGCCACGACTGACGGTTCGTCCGTCTCGTTCAACTTGCGCTTGGCCATTGTGTCGGGGTATCTAGGTTGTGAAGTTTGGTATTAATCTGCTCTTGCGCGACAGTAGTTAAAAGTAAATAGCACGGTCGAGGTTGGTGATCAGTCGACTAAAGTTGGTCGTGATATGGTTCTATAGAGACAAAGATGGAAGATGAAGAATGTTTTTGGAAGTGGAGGAGGAGGGGCTGCACTTCGAAGCTACGAAACGGATGGATGCCAATTCCTCGAATCGACCAAAAAAGTTTGGGAAAAATTTCGACGGGGACTCGCCCAGGCGTCGCACCCACTGATTGGCCGGCGCTACCAGTCCACTTCACAGTGGGCATAGGCGCTAGCGCACCGGCAGCTCGTTGCCCCACAAAAGCTTAATCCAACAACTTGAACCTCCACAGCGACCAGGGGGATCGATCATCTGGGCTGCCACCTTCAACGCAGGTCCACGATCTTACACTAGGTAGTCAGCCTTCAGTCATGAGCCCTACGAGGCTGTTGAGGCTCAAGATGGACCGAGAATCATACCTTACAATCAAGCTCAAGATCACGACTGGACAAAATCAAACTCGCTACTAGACTAACTTTGATGGAAATCCTACTACCGGAAACAAATACATCTTAACATAAGCCATAATCCTTAAAGCCATTCTTCGTTTTCTTTTCGCTCGAGCCACATAACCAGAGGCAAGTAACATGCGCTGAGAATCAAGCTATTCATCCAACACGAAACGAAATTGACCACACCAATCTACACTTGCGCGAACCTTCCATACCAGGCTGTCATCACACAAAACCTCAGACGCCAACATTTTACCAAACCATAAGAACATAAAAGTCTGATGACAAGGAAATACTTCAGCATTCATCTCTCATGACCTTTGTCCATCTGTTACATGAGCCTCTCCATCAATCATCGTCCAACTCTTGGAGCACCAGACGGCAGTGTTCCATGTTGTTGCTATTCGGCCTGACTGTCCCCGAGCCAAGAATCTCAATCACTCATTTCAGACAAGTTCAACTCAGCGTCCGGAGTCCTTAAAGACCGATTGGGCCGACTTCGCGATCTCCATAACCAATCCTTGAAGCCGTATTCTCGAGCCGCCGGCTGCATCTAGTAACGACGACCATAGTCACGCGGCGGGTATGGCTCGCGAGGGTACGGGTCACGCGGAGGGAAGTCCACGGGAGGAGCACGGCGATCGTAAGCATCTCCGCGTCCGCTCATGTACGGGTCGGGAGGGTAATCGCGGGGAGCACGGTACGGGTCATCGTAACGTCCGCGGGGAGGCGGGTAGTCACCGATCGGGCGCCTGGGTGGCGAGCGGTAACCACCTCTCCTGTCGTCGTAGTACTCGCGCCTTGGTGGGGGCGACCTGTCACGGTAACCATCACGGTAGCCGTCGCGGCGGGGGCTGTATCCGCGAGGAGGGGGTCCACGGCGGTCGTAATCGTCCATGGGAGGGGGGTATGGGCGGCCACGCGGCGACCTCGAGCGAGCGCGGTGGTCATTTCTTGGGATGTCGGGTTGAGTCTAATTTCAAAGGTCAGCAACCATACTCATCGAGGTGTGAGGATATTCCTTACGTTAGCGACGCAGGTCACGCGCTGGCCCTTAAATTCGCGGTTGTCGAGCTTCTCAACAGCAGTCCTCAGATCGGCGGCGTTTTCGAACTCAACGAAGCTGTAATTTCGGTCAGCGGAAGTGTAGAAAGGTTCTGACCGTGGCCACATACCCTTCACCGTTCTGGTTGCGAGTAGTCTCGCTATAAACGACATCAAGTCCGGACTGACGAGCAAAGTCCTTGAGGTCCTAAAAAGGCAAGTCGAGTAAGTTGAGGTCCGGGATTTGGCAGTTGGCGGTCCTCCCATGCATCACCACCAGTAAAAATGTGTCCAGGAAGCTGATTGTGTATGGCAGGTTGTCATCCGGCTCTGGGGTGTCCTCTGCCATAGTCCCGCCCGTAACAAGAAACTCCAATGGGAAGACTGAAAAGGATGTAGTGAAGGAAGCCGGAAAGAGCCAGTTGGGTGTACAAAAGAGAGCCAAGTGCGTTCAGCTGGAACGGCCGGACCCCCCACCAGTCGGTAATAGGAAAAATAACGAAGTCCGAATGGCCAAACTTGGGTGTGACGGTGACAGGAGATATGCCATGCTGGTGGGGGCGAGAACAGAGTAGGGTGTGGAATCCATGGGTAGCCCGGAAAAAGAGAGAAATCCATATGATGATCAAGCGGCGCACAAGGAAGTGGAAGGGTGACAGACCTGCCAGCTGGTTTCATTGGGAAGGCCAGAGATTTGCATCCGGTGAGGCGTGCGTCGGGGCCTGGGTTGGCTGTTACGCTCGTGGGTGAAACCGGGACCTCCCTCACGGTGACGGGCGCCACGGGCGAACTGAACGGTAAGACGCTCTCCCATGAAGTCCGATCCATCTTGTTATTGTCAGTCGGTCGATATCGCAAGTTACGGGGGGGTTGGAAGTGGGAAACGTACGGAAAGCTAAAGAGAGAATGATTGTTAGCACATATTTTTTTTATGATTGCTATGATGCACATAAGAAAAGAGCAACTTACCAGGAACAACATCGCGGGCGTCCATGGCATCCTTGTACTCGATGAAACCAAAGCCGTTCATGAGCTTGATTTCGGTAATCTCGCCGGTTCCGTGAGTCGCAAAGTGGGCTTCCACATCGGCCTTGGTTGCTTTGCGGGAGTCAGCATTGTGTATCGTCGGATGGGAGCCGACCAGACCAGGCGCCAGAGCAGGGACAACTGGACAGAAGAGGTAGCCTCGCAGCGACAAGGCGGCGATTGATGTTTGATCATGGGAGACGGCCGCTGGTCGACGGTGGCTGTGGTGGTGGTGATAATGATGACGTTGATGTTGCAGATCCGGAAAACTCACCGTGCCGGGGCAGGTTGCCCAAGTAGAGACGGGTCGACGATACTTCAGTCATTGTGTCGGGTCGCTGGTTGTGGGACCTATATAGGATGACTGGATAGCCAAGATGGTAAGAATCCGATCCAAGGCGATAGAAGGCTGAAGAGGGATGGGGAGTTCCCGACGCAGGGCAATCAATCCAGCTATCGTACTTTTTGGTTGTTGTCGTGGTGGCAGAGACGAAGGCTGACACGACGGACGAGATCGGGAGCCTGGTGAGGTGAGGAGGGGGTTGGTCGGGGTAATAAGCGCGACGACGTGCTGTGTCCTGCCGAAGCCTCGTTTAAGAAAAGAAAAAGTTGCGTCAACTTGTTCGGAGCCTTGTTCGCGGGCCGACCAGTCAAAGTGCAAGCCAGGCACGAGAGAGACCAATCTGGGCGGAGAGGCGGGAAGCGTAGAAGAGGGCGTCAGCCAAGTTCGGGTTGTGGTGGGTGTTTGTATCACTCGACGATTCAATCAGAAACAAGACGTAAAATCACGCGACGAATCGGCGGGTAAAGTAGTCGTCGCGGTGTTGTGTTGGATGGTTGGCCGTCCAAGTTGGCAATGATGGTTGGTAACAGTTGAGAAGAGGATGATGTTTGGAGGAGAAGCTGTGACGGGCATGCGACACGGTGGGTGTTGGTGGGTGGGAAGAAAAGTGGAGGAGCGATTGAAAAAGGACCTAGGAACGCGGCGGAAGTGGAAGGATGGGGTGAGTGAGTGGGAGGATTGCTGGAGGGAGGGGGGGCCCGCGGGCTGGCTGAGAGAAGTGGAATGGAGTGTGGACGGGCCCTGTCCTGCTGCTGCAGCAACTGAAGGAACTGAATCCGGGACAAGGAAGGACTGAAAAAGAGAAACGAGAAAAATGGGATTCGCACGCACGGCATCACGCAGGAAACGAAGAAAACACTTCCGTCTCCCGTCACAACTAAGCGCCGACCGGTCTCCTGCTGCTGCAGCACACGATCGTGCCCCCAGGCAAAGCCCGATGCCTGCCCTGTTGCGCTACACTAACAATCCCGTCAGCAACGCGACGACGACAACGATAACCTCGGAACTGCCGCTATAGCGCCCGCCTACACTAGCTAAGGTTACAGCCAAAGCCAGGCACTCAACCCACTGAAAACCAAAGCATGGACCCGGCGGGCAGGCATGGACGAGTGGGGCAAGCAGAGCAAACGCGGGAAGAGGTGGACCGCCAAGCCTCCTGGCTATCCAATTGCAAACCACCGTCGCCCTGAATGAGCGGATGTGTCACAAGCATCCTGGTCCTTGTGAGAGGGGAAGGGCAAGGCATGATGCACATGGACCGACGCGTTGCACAGGCACCCCTCCTTGTTGATTTGATGCCGCTGCTGCTGGTCGCCGCCGCCGGTTTGTTTTCCGTCATCTTGGCTTGGCTTGTCGGAGCCATGTTTGATATTGGCGTGACATTGTCGAAGGTCGTGATGGTGGTACCTAGTTATGGTGGTGTTGAGCGGTCGAAGGTATTCCCGGACATGTCAAGGGAGGTATTTAGGGAAAAAAAGTATGTAAACAAAAGGGAGCTTTGGCCGCTTCTGATGTCAATCCTATGGAGCTTTTCCGAGCTTTTTGCAAATCCCGACAGGGCTGGTTATGGTTCACGTCATTGGGTCGGCTGGGATAGTGACGCTTTTTGTCGAGTTTTGTTCTTCCACTTTTTGGATTCAGATCCAAAGTTCCAGATGCTAATTGAGATCATCGACTATCGATCAGAACGCGTAGTGGGTATGGACATATGTAGTACAGTTGAGTGCGAGACACCGAGGGTCATTCTATACTAGATCTAGCTAAGAATCTGGAGTTCTTTACAAGTCATGTCTCGTAGTGTAATTAACAGACACAAACTTACCTATGCTTGGCACAAAAACTGTCAAACTCCGCTGGAAGATGGATGCGCTCACAGTCCCCGGGGCAAAATGCCGTAGCTCTGATCATATCTCACGGTGTTGACAAGTAAATATTGGAGCAAACGGCGTGCTCCATCCATCCTAGAAATGCAGAGTAGGAATTCTTCTCTTACGATGCCTATGAAGGCTTGGAGTTATCCATGGTTCTGCCCTTTCCCTGCCCCATTTGATACCTATGTATGGTACAAGAAACACGCTAGCAAATAACACAGTATTGAGCTGTATTTCTACTTTCAGACACCAAGATGCAATGAGCAATACGTGGTCTAGAAGTAAAGAAAAAGCGAGATATCGTAAGAAAGAAGGAAGGCCTCCAGCCAGCCGATTACATAGACAGGATATACTGTACGAAACCTAGAGTACGAGTGTATTGTAATACAAGCCTCATCACAACTTGAACTCTTTCGTTTCTTTGTCAGGATTCGGGCTTCTCCAACTTTTACGCCAAACACGGATGAATACACAAATCCAGTTATAAACGTGTATATTTCTCAACTTATCCAATTTGCCAACTCCGTTACATCAGTCATCACGTCATGATCCTCCACATCCATCCCTATAACCACCACCTTCAGCCAACAACCATCACCACTACTTATTTCCTACTTCCTCTCCCCACCAGCCTGCACAACCAAAACACTCGCATTAACCGCCCCCGTACCTCTAACCAACAATCCCTCCGCCACAACACCCACCGTCTTTCCCAGATCCAACCCCCCTCCATTCGCAGTCCCACCACCTACATCCACCCGACTACTGTTACTACCACCAGCACCACCAACAGCCCCCTCAACACCATCAACAACCCCATGCCTCCGTCCCACAACCACCACATCACCCGCCCCGCCGCCCTTCTTTTTCTGCTGTTGTTGTCCCACCGTAACGTTCGCTAATCCCAACACCGTTTCCATCAAGTCATTCTTACCCTCTGTCAAGTTCGATTCCTCAAAGACCACGCGCGAGGCGATTCCCTCGGGGAGTGAGTCGCGGAACGTCGCTAGCAGTGTTGCGTCCTCGTTATATTCCCCCATAGAGTTGGAGGTGGAGGCGGTAGAGGTATACTTGAGATGAACCACAGTAGCAGTTACGTTATCGTTGTTGCCAAGTAATTGGAGGACCAAGTTTAGAGCCACACGATCATCTGCGCCGCCGATGAAAGGGAGGAAGATGTGGTGTGTGCGGGTTGTGATAGTGGTTGGATAGGTTGGTAGTTGGTCTTGGGGTGTATGATGTTGAGAGTGTAGACCTTGGGCCCGAGTACCAAACCCACCAAAACAATTATCGATGAAAATCCCCGCGTTACACACCCTCTCTGCCTTTGCAAGAGTTTTATGCATAAACTCTAGATGAGCACTACCTTTGAACCGATCATTGCCTGCATTAGCACCAGCAGCACCAGCTAGTACGGAGAGAGGTTGATCCAAATCCGTCAGACTCCCATACTCGCTCCAAGGAATCAGCACAAACTCCGATTGCGTATCTGCCGCGTACGAAACGAGCGTCTCAGCATACGAAGACTCGGGAACGATGGCTACGCGCCCGGAAACAGCCACGTTGTTGGACATGCTCGGTGACGACAAAGAGGCAAAAGTGCGAAAGGTGTTGATCACGGGGTCGCGCAACGAATAAAGCTCCTCCTCTTCGCCGGCTATGCCTTCGGTTACTTGCATGACGGAGGAGGTGCGGTCTGTGAGCTCAATGAGGCGGAGGCCGTGGACTTCGAGGAGTTTTTGCTTGCGGGTGGGAGGAGAAGGGTTGCTGCCTTTGTCGGTGGATTCAACCTCGGAGGGCTTGGCCTGGGGGCTGAGGAGGGTGATGAAGGCAAGGAGAGAGGGTAAACTGTCGAGACGGAGGTAGACGAGCATACGCTGGATCGAGGATTGGTCGCCGCCGGGCTTGGAGGGGTCGGACGTGTTAGGACTGGACTCGGAGGGTACAAGAGGGTTTTCGTCCCAGTCGATTTCACCGCGGCGCCATCTTTCAACTTTGCGCTGGTACCATGGGGGATACAAGGCTTTGGTGAGAGGGGTGGTGGCGACGGTAGTGACGAGGGCCATGACGACGAATATGGTGAAGGTTCTTTGGGAGAGGATCTTGGCTTGGAGACCAATGTTCAAGACGATAAGCTCGACGAGACCCTTGCAGCTCATCAGACTTCCAATGGTGAAAGACTCGCGCCAGAGGAGCTTGTTAGCACGAGCGGCGAGGGTTCCGCCGATGATCTTGCCGGCGAAGGCGCAGGTAATGACTCCAATCACGTAGCCCCATGTGATCCCATCGTTAAGGAGACCAAGGTTGGTGCTTAGACCAGAGAGGGCAAAGTAGAGAGGGAGGAAGAGGACAGAGATGAGATCCTCGATCTTTTCCGTCATCTTGATTGCAAAGCCGCCCTCATGGGGGCATATCAATCCAACGAGGAATGCGCCGAAGATGGCGTGGATGCCAATGATGTCTACACACGTCAGCATTTGTAAGTAAAGATATCGAACAGGTACGACTTACTCGTGAAAAACGCAGAAAAGAGAACGAGAAGCAATGTCAGCGCAACCACCCCCTGCGTCGGTCCATTCTGCAAGCTCCCCGTCCTCCTCACCCACCACATAAATGGCGGTCTTACCGCAAACACCAAAAACAAAATCCACCCTATACAGCACAGTAGCGCCCATAGCGCCGCCAGTCCGCTATTGTTATTCACCAACGCTACGCAAAGCGCCAGCAAAATCCAGCCGGTAACATCATTCCCAATCCCCGCCGCCAACACCGTCACGCCCACGTTGCTCCTCAACAGCTTGAGTTCAGTCAAAATACGGCACAAGACAGGGAACGCAGTGATGGCGAGTGCAGTGCCGATGAAGAGACCATATACACCAAAGCTAATAGGCACCGTGGTCCCGTCGTTGTGGAACTGGTGGTATAAACCCCAGGCGATGCCGAAACCTAACCCGAAAGGGAGGATCATGCCGGCGAGACCGACGGAGAGGGCGACTTTCCAGTTGGAGGTGAACATGCGCATGTCGACTTCGAGAGCGACGAGGAAGAGGAAGATGATGAGGCCGAGGTTGGCGACATTGTTGAAGACGGGCATGGATTCTTTGGGGAAGATGGCTACCAAATTGTGTGTGTTAGTGAAAGAGGGTGGGTGAGTATGGGAGGGTGTAAGTGAGTTGCGTTACGTGCCAGCCTCAAAACCGGGTATCCTCATCATGACGGAGGGACCGAGTAGAATGCCGCCAATGACTTCAGCAATGACTTTGGGTTGATTGATCCATCGTAGCGGGTAAGCAAGTAGTTGACAAAAGATGATGACGATGCCGGCTTGGATGATGAACAAGGTGATGGGTGCCGAGGCGCTGTATTTTATTGGGTTGGCGCCCTCGAGAACACCGGCCTGGCCGTTGACGCTTGGAGTTGTCGCATTTGAAGAGGTATTCGATGAAGTCGCAGCGACGGCTCGGATGACGGTCTTGAGGACTGCGTCTGTTATGGCTGAGGCCATCGTGTCGATGGTTGGCGGTGTGGATGTGGTCTGCTTGTTGAGCCAACTGATGGAAGGCTGGATGGCTTAAGACCAATGCAGCCGAAACGTGCGCCAATGCAGTGTTTGAATAACCACATAAGGTGTTTGTAGAGGTATAACGGCATCAAAGTGGCCTCAGGGGACCAGACAATGAAGAAGGTTGAGGTCCGAGACAGAAGCTGTCACTCGACAACACAAAGAAAAGATATATAAAACAGATCCAGATCCGAGACACCGGGGATCTATTGGTACGTCCGCCTCTTGTTGATAGAGGTTGCATGCCTGACTGTACAATGTAAGCACCAGCTAAAGCAATGGGCCTCCACGTGATGGTATCCAAGCCAAGAAGAGGGGATCATGTTCTTTTCGGGGACATGAAGCCCAAAGGGTCCAATTGCAGTCGTCAGTCAAAAGGATCATGGAGGGAATACCATCGAGGAGGTCGGTGGTGCTGGGCCAAGCGATTCGCATTTGTTCAGTTCTCGTCCACCTCGCTCTTTCTCTCACGCTTTCACATGGGCACTAACACCACAAGAGAGGGAGGTGATAGCTGGATGGGAACACCCCGTTGTCTCTCGCACAACTTACTGGGCATGCTAAGAACTGAGCTACCCGATAGTGTGTTATACAAATCTTGGGATTCCAACTTGGATCCATACAATGTCGATAACGTAGGGCCCGAGGGTGTTGACGTCTTGACGATGAAGAGGGCCTGTGGCGGTCTAGACTCGGGACCATGATCTGGGGTAGTCTCCAGTTCTCGGTCCAGTTGGCTATTGGATCCTCTTCCCAAGCCATCCAAGCCATGGGTGCTCTGCTGACTGACCACAGCTGACTTGATCTCACATCTTGGCTTGATGCGATATTGATGGAAGTGATGAGGAGAAGAAAGATGAAAAAAAAGAGGAGAAAAAGCCAAGATGACAAGACTTGGGGAAGGTCCACATCGATGTTCCCTTCGATCTCGGGCAGTTCCACTTTTGCAAGATGGATCGATCCACTGTAAGTGGGGCATCTAGTCGCTAAAGCACTCCACTGTTTGTCTACGGGGTTAGGGCCATTTTCACGTTTCAATGGTGCCCTGGACTTGGCAGCGAACTTCTGCCAAAAACACCACAGAAATCATCATCACTTTGGCACTTTACTTAGGTTTGCGGGTGTCTTTATCAACGGAACCCAAGCTAAATGGCAACACCAAACATCGATTCTAGGTTCTCCCCACAGTCGCACAGCTTTCCGACTGGTCGACACTGTCACACGAATTAAATCCCTGGATCACCCCAACAGCCCAACGCGGGTCTTCTCCGAACCACAACAACATCACAGGGCACCAATTCTCCATGGCTTTCATTTTCCCTCACTCGTGTTGGCAGAAGGGGCAATTAGGCAAGGCTGGCTTTTCTTCTGCTCTCGTCTTACACATTACGCAGTACATACCTCGCTTCAGGGATGATCACGAGATACAAGTACTCGAAACGGTCAAGAATGACCGTCCTGGTTTCAATCAGCCACGCCCGGGAGGTTGACACCTTTGGGTAACCTGCCCACGCGAGTACAAACGGCCGAGTCCAAGTGGTGCAGTGGCTATTTTATGTCAACCCATCAGTATCTCCTTGAACACAAACCCAACTTCTTCCATTCATGTTCCTTTGGACCAAGAAAAGTCTCGTCAAACATGAGAGCAGCGCTAGTGCTTTACAAGTTAGTGCTTGATTTCGTTGGCCAACTTCACCAGTCATGTCGATGTCATCACCGTGGCTGTCGTTCTTTACGGTCAAACTACCTTACCAAGTCATGTTGCTCAAAAAGATTTTGTGAACTGAGTGGGCGGCGTCGAGCACCGATTTCTTGAAACCAAGATAGAGGATGCTTTTACTCTAGACCATTGGGCTTGATTTACTCGACCTTCGCTTGATGAACGCACTTCACATCGACAATGATTAACAAGAGTAATTATCCGCTTGCATATACTATTTATTCGAATCATACCACGACCGCTTGCATCTACCTCTATATCCTCCGCTTGCTCTCATTACCTCTAAGCATACCTGGGCCCAGCAAACCTCTTCTCCCTCCTGTCGCTCCAGCTTCCATCATCGCCGTGTTTCCATACACCGGGGCGCCCCCTTGGTTGCTGCTCGTTGTTCTTTCTTCCATCGGCCGATCCATAACCCCAATCCGACGACGAGGATGAAGACGAGGGCTGAGTTTCGTGCCCCTTTGCCAGCCTAATGGGATGACACTCGGTGTTGTAGACGAACTCGTTCGTCTGGTCGGCTTTGACTTGCCAGGGGTCATCCTCCTGTTTTTTTCGTTAGCATCTTCTTCTTCTTCTTATTGATTCATCCACATCGAGACTAAGGGGGAAAAAAAAAAAACTCACATCCTGGAAAATCAACCAACAATACTTCAACACCTCGGCAAACCAAAAACTCTCCTGGAAATCCGTCTTGCTCCCCCCTCCCACCTTATTCACATTCGCCACGCTGCTATACCCGCTCCCCGCCCTCGTCGTCGCATTGATCGCCTTGAACGCCGCCCACGCCCACTCCCTGTACTTTTCATCCTTCGTCGCCCGCCACGCATAGTACATACTCTCAATCACCTCCGGCCGCAGGACATACTGCTCGTTGGTGATCCAGAACCCGTTCTTCTCATAAAACGCCTTTTGCTCCGCCGAGGGAGGCCCGCGGTTATTCGTCGCATTCAGCGGCGTGCGGCTATCCTGCCAACTAAACAACTCGGGACCAATCCCCGTGGCTGTAGCCGAGTACGTCTCCGCGCACGACTTGACCAGCTCCAGCCCAAAGTCCAAGTACTTCTTATTCGACAGCGTCAATCCCCCCAAAATGAAATTACCACCATCAAAACAATCCAGATGTCCGCTCGAGAACCGCAGCGTGGTGTTCCCCCTCGGTCCCTTCCATCCGCCCAGGAACGTCAAGTCCGGCCGGGTAGTAGGGTGCGAAGCCACGTACTGAATCGACGAATCGGCCGCTAATATCCAGCGATCCCGATATAACCCGAACCGGTCCGGGTCATACAGGTACATCTTGATGAGATACTCATAAAACGAATCGGTCCCGCCGCCCCACCCGCCAGTGCTATCGACGAACAAACCGCTGGTGATATTGACGTTGGTCCCCAAGAGACCAGGAAACGGCTCAGCGATTGCGCTAGGTTGCGGATTCAGCAAAAAGGACTCGGCCCGCTGCGCGAGCTGCGCGTAGGTGTTGTTCCCTGTTATGTCCGATAGTCGCGTCCACTCGAGCACCAGCGTGCCAATGGTCGCGATGCCGTTCGTCTGCGATCCTGTCCTCTTCGGGCCTGTCGCGGGGTCGAAGATGAGGTTGTTATCCGGGATTCCCGAGGGAGTGTCGAAGGCCACGGACAGGGCGTCGGCTAGGCGGATGGCTTGGGCCAGGATGGCGTCGGTCGCTGTTTGGGAAGAAGTAGAATTGAGATGGACATCTGGGCCTGCGGCTTTGGCGTTGGCGTACAGAGGCGGGGTGGTCAATAAGTCGTAGGCGGAGAGTAGGCCGCCTAGGTACCGGATGGTGGTTTCAAAGAGGGAGATTTCGCTCGAGGTGCGGGTGAAGTCGATTTGGGGCACGTAGGCGAGGATTTGGTTGATGACGGGCCAGTTGCGCATGACGATGGCGGTGGAGAAGGCGTCGATTGCTGAGGCGCCCCAGCCGTTTCTGCGTGGTGGTGTTAGTGTGGTGTTCAGTTGGCTGAGAAGGGGTAAAAAGAATGGGGGAATTACCGGTCATCCTCATAAGAGTTGGTCACTGGTCTCAGTGAGTCGTGAGGAAAAGCATATTTGTAGTATCCGTCCCAGGAGATCTGAAAGGCTTGTTTGACGGCGTCTCGTCTCTCCTGGTTTGAGGCGGTTTGAGATGATGATGATGATGATGCTGCTGCAGAGTCGTCGCTGGTGCCAATGTTTTTCTGTCGCGGCGGAGAGAAAGGTGTTGCAGTGACTACCTGAGTGAGGGTCAAGGCGCCGACCAAGAAGGCCGCTGGGCCAACGTTGTTGAACTTGGGATACATGATATTGATGACGATGCCGATAACGATGCTAGCGAGCAATGTTGTTGTTGTTGTTGTTGTTGCTCGGATGTAAACAATGACCCCCCTTTGTCAAACGGTGGTCCAAACGCGGACTTGGGGATTTACCGTGGCTCGCCAGACAACGAGTCAATGAGTGTTCCGACTGAAGGAATCAACTGTGAGAAACAAGTTCCCACCCTCGCTCACTCACTCACTCACTCTGCAGAGGCAAGAGAGACCGAGGTGAAGGATAGACCGACTGAAGGGGATGAACCAAGAAAGAGTGGGTTCAACCGTGCCCTCGCTGCGTGCCCAGTTTCAAACAAACTCCAAGCACAAAGAGCAAGAAAGACAACGGGAGGTGGGAATTGCATGATGTATATAACTCCGGTTTCCTTTCCTTCTTCATACCTCTTTACACTACACTACCGATCGCCAAGGCCCCGCCCGCCATCTTTACCCCGGCCCCCCGGTTAATGTACCTTTATTCACACCGCGATTCATCAACAACATTCCATTCAGTTTCTGTATTGACATGGTTTGGGGTCTTGAGAGTGGTCAGGCCAGGCACCACAAACCTGGATCTGGCAAAAGAAAGACAGAAATAACCAGGTTCCTGGAGGTTCAATGGGATGGTTCCAGATGTCATGAGGTGTCAATCACTTTCTTGGTTCGGCCAATGAATGCAGTGGGGGAGAGAGGATTGATTGAGGAGGTCGGCAATTGGATCGATAGGTATCTAAGGTAGGCATGTATGTGCCTTACAAATGCGGAAGGTTCAGTTGTCTTTCTTGTCGGTCTTTCCTGTCACTGAATACATACACCGCATACCATGTACCTCTACATACATCGTCGTGTTGTATGCAGGACAACCAACATATGCAATGCATTCTGTACCACTATGCAGTATCCTACAGGCAGGATTTGCGGCCGGTTTTTTAGACTTGTTCGTCGAGGTTTGATGGGGGTTCTGGATCAGATGGGATTTCGACTACCTCTTCATTTGAGGAATCGAGAAGGTTGGTTTATCTCTACAAAGGTGTAAAAAGGTGTAAATAACTTGGGATTGAAGCGTCAACGGACATTGTCCCGTGCCTCTCTCACCTCCTCTCAAATACTAAGTAGGTATGGTAGTCTCGGTAGTGTAGCACTACAGGTACACCAACGCTCGTGTCAATGGCCAGGAGACCGAAAACCTGCATCCGCCCTCCAAGGTTGGAGAAAGATCTACACAAGCTAAGAAGTGATGTGCATACTTGGTACACGCTACGGGGTGTTTTGGCGGGGAAATGGACCGGGAATGGTGGATGAGTCTCATTCAGCTCGGTGGATTTTCCCGGAGTTATAAAAGGCCACTGCAGCATTTGTTCCTTTTTTTTTCTCGTGCTATGTCCGAACGGCTATACACTACCTCTACGTATGTTGAAACGACGACGAAAATCTGAATTCAGCCGCATGATGCAGTTCGTTAGTCTCGTTGATCCTCCTCCATCTCTCGAAAGCTGTATTACATTTTAGTAGGGTAAGAGATTGTTGGAAATAAGGGACTACATACCTTATTGTAGACTAGTGAGGCAACTAGAAGTCCCGCAGACTTCAGCTGCCCCCCCTTCCTTCTTCCCCCCTCTCATGATGGAGATACCGAGGGGGAAAAAAAAAGAGAAAAATAGAATAGTATAAATACCTCACGAAAAAGAAAAACGTTTCGTCTGCTCTTCTTTCTTTCCTTTTTTTTTTTTTTTTTCACCCCACGACACCAAAAACTTTCATCACAACCACGCAGTGACCGTGTCAAATTCAGACATCACTTACCAAATCTCAACCGCCAACCCAAACCTACCAACAACATCATGTCCGGCGCAGTCAATCCCTGCCACAGCTGTGGTTTCCCTTACACGACCCCTGGCGCGCCGTGCCCTGGTTGCCAAAAGGTACTAGAAGATGGCCTTGGTTCCTTCCTTCCTTCCTTTGCTTGCATCTCTCTCTCTCTTTCTCGGGGGATCACAAGACACAAAACAAACGCGGTAACTAACCTTTTCCTTCCAATTACAGTAAAGCAGATGGGGAACGACTCTGGGAGAGGACCGAGACGGCGACAGAGGGACCGGGAGTGTGGTGATGTTAAATAAATCTATTGCCGAGAATCGACTGCGGATTTTTTGTGTTTTTCTTGATTGTTGTTTCGAACAATTAGAATTGACAAAACTCACAATAATGACTGCTGCATGTGTAACAAATATTGGAACTGAACGAACCGAGCCAAAATCAATTTTTTTTTTTGGTTGTTATTAGACATATACAGGGTCAGAAAGCCACCCGATTCCGTCCTGTTTTTTTCCTCGAGACGAGACTGTGACGTGAAATCACGATGGAAAAAGGTCCGAGGTGGTGTGTGTTGTATTGCTCCAAGACAAGTCAAGGCATCCGACCCGTCTATAGTTCCATCGCATATGTATAGTACAACACATACGAGATGCCGTGTATCGTTTTGTTCCTGCTCCAACGATAGGTAGGTAGCAATCCAAACTGCAGGTTGTTGATGCAAATGGGATGCATGACAGTAATTCCAACGGTTGTACATTCGTAGTAGTTATTGTCTGGGTAGGTAATTTGGACGTGATGTGGTCATTCGTCTGGTTTGGTTTCAAAGGGTCCCAACATGGACCTGGAATAAACTGAGTCTTGGGACTTGTGGCTCGGCATCAATGCCTAGATACTCTAGAAGGAGTGTCGGGTTGTGGTCGTCGTACAACCACGGGCTTCTGGTATTCCCGTGCACGGAGGATGTTGTCTATCATCTGTTTGTTCATCCTTGGCCACGCGCGGATGTTGTGTTAAGACGAACATGTTCTTGTGGTCCAGGAACCTGCAGCGAGCCACAAGGTAACTACCACCGCACGTTTCTTGTGAGGGGTAAGCTGTGGTGTTCGTCGTGTCTGTCAAGACATGAGCGAAACATCCCGTTGAGTTGAGACATTTCTTCGATATCTCCACGTGTTCATCGTAGGACAGGCGTGTTTTAATCCGCCAGACAACGTGTCCGAAGGGTTCAACACTTCCTCAACCTCCCTGCCTCAGTTTGGCCAACGCAGCAGCAATCCCACCGCCCAGTTCCTCCTCTTGTCTCCGAGAAGCTGGAGTGTTGTTGTTGGTAGAACTCGAGCCCGCAGCCACCGTCGACCCCGCCTCCTCAGCAGCCATAACAGCCTCCATCCCATCGTACTCATCCTCCCTCGGCCCGTGCCCGTGCCCGGTATCGCCAGCCCTCCTGTCCAGTGATGATCCAGTTTCCTTCTGCCGTGTCTGTGTCTGTGTCTGTGTCTGCATCGTCCGTGACTGTGTCCCTCCTGACCCGGAACCGGAACCCGTCGCAGCCTTCTTCCGTCCCTGCGCCGCTGCCTTCCGAACCCTAAAACTCCCCTCCACCGCCCTCCTCCAACTCCTCACCTTCTTCTCTCCCCACCCCTGCACGTTCCCCAACCGCTCCTCCCCATTCGCCTCCGTCGCCACATTGATCGCATTCCGCAAGCTCCCAAACGTACTCACCAGCGCAATCGCATCCGTCTTATTCACGCTCCTCGGCACCGTCACAAACTCCACCATTTGCTCCGCGTACGTCGTCTTTTGCTGGCCTCTGATCGCGCTCGCGCTCGCGTGCTCGTACGACTTGTACAGCTCCAAGTAGCGCGCCGCCTCCTGCGCCGACCAGCACAAGATGACCGTCACGTTGTTGACGAGGGACGTCTTGGAGAGCTCGCGCAGGGGCTCCTCGTGGTTGGGGATGTCGACGAGCGTGAGCAGGATGCGCAGGTTGTACCGGTTTTGCTGCAGCAGGCGGATGCGCGTGTAGATGTATTCTGGGTGCAGACGGTGGTATTTGAGAGACAGGAAAAGGGCGCAGGTGGTGGTGCCTAGTACGTAGTCGGCGGGGATGTCGGAGTATTCCCACGCGGTGGACTTGATGGAGGCGAGCACGGGGTTGCCTTTTTGGCGCGGGGAGACGAGGATGGAGGAGCCCGAGGAGGAGCGGGCGCCGGGGAGGGCTTGTGGGGTGGGTTGGACTATTCGCGGGCCAGTGGAAGAGGAGGAGGAGTTGGAGGGTGGTGGTTTGTCAAGGCGTTGGGGAGTGGGTTGGACAATGCCGCGACCTGGTGGTGCTGGTGGGCGTTGGGGTTGTTGTCTGGCTGCTGCTGCTTCGGAGGCGGCGAGAGCTTGGAGGAGCTCGGCGTCGTCAAAGTCGTCGTCCATTTTGTTTTTACTACCTAAGATCGGAATTACACGCGACGAAGGTATCGCGAATTCAAATCGAGGATGATGAACAGGAGGTTGAATGTGCCAAGATCCGGGGAAGCCTGGAATTGCCTGATGAGTACGATGCGGGGACAGTGTTACTGTACAGTGTTATGTTCGCTTATTTACAGTACGTCAGAAAAGACTCAATGACGTCAGTGAAATTGTCCACGAATGTAAACAAAGCCTTCAGTGATCACCATATCCTCTCGGGAAGCTCCGGGCGACAGTGAATGGTAGCCAATCCTTACTTCACAGATCTTTATGATGATCATCACAAGCGTTGAGATTAACACAATACAGAACGGTTGCCAAGGCGAGAGTCCGGTAGTATTGCCGTGATGATGGAGAGGACCGAAGCCTTCTTTGGGATCGAAGACGACCTTTCCCCTGATGGTCTTTTTACCAATGTGGATCATTTGAAAGATGTACAACGGTCGCATAACTCAACCACGTAAAGTACATGAATGAACATGATATGAACATATATCAAATGTATTGTCCATCTACCTATTATCTGCTATCTTGTAGAACAGTACATCTAAACAATCAAAAGCTAAACTCCAAAACTTCCAACCCAGCCATTGCATCCTATATATCTTTCCAGGGTATAGTCATATCCAATTCATGTCCATCCATATCCATAACCTCCAGACCACTCACCTGAATCCCCAAACAAAACACAATTATTCATAATTCCAACAGGTACCATTACTTCCCAAGGGCATCCTCTGCCTTTTCTTCACCCATCCTACTCCGACCCATACCCCCTATCCCCATAATCCCCCGAAAAACTACTCTCACTCCCCTCATCACTCCCCTCACCATTCTCCTCACCATTCTCCCCCCTCCCCTCAAAAGCCTCGACACTCAACTCATCATAAATCCTATACAAAGCACTCAACCACGTCTCCAACATGGTCTTGACCGTCTTCCTATCCTTTTTCGAGTCCTCCCCATCTTTCTCTTCTCCTTCCTGCTCCAGCTGCTGCTGCCGCTGCCGCTCCCGCATCAACAGCTCCTCCTTCAACTTCTCATACCCCTCAATCATCACCCACACCTGCAACGCCGCCGTTTCCGTCGACAGTTTATTTTCTGTCCCTTTAGTCGCGTGTCGGTTCTGTCTGCGTCTTAACCCTGGCATCAAGTGCGATGAGAGGTCCCTGGTGAGGAGGTCGAGGCAGATTTGGAGGGACAAGTCTTTTTGGACTATGGGCGGGGGAGTCGGCGAGGTCCTGGACGTGGTTGTGGATGTGGATGTGGCCGGAAACGTGGGCGTAGAGGTAGAGGTAGACGTAGATCTTGACGCGGGCGTGGACCTGGATGTAGACCTGGACGTGCACGCGGACGTAGACATGGGTGTGGGCGTGGATGTAGTCGACGGGGACGTAAATGTGAAGGTGGGGGTGGATGCAGACGTGGGCGTAGATGAGGACGTGGACGAGGAGGACGTGGACGGGGGGAGGGAATAGTCGGAGATTGAGTGTGAGAATGAGGGGGGCCGAGGAGGAGGAGGAGGAGCAAATTCTGGCTTGAAGTCAATGCCTTCTTCGTCGATAGCTACCAGGGTGTCGGCGTCTGATCGGAGGGATGGTTCTGGTTGCAGACTTTGACTGTTGGGAGCAGTCGGTGGTGGGTGCACATGGGCAAAGAGGGATACTTGAGGGGGGACGTTCTGGCTGTTGACGTTCCCAGTGTGATAATTGAGAGGGGCTATGCTACCTCTACGCGGAATGGCTGGTTGTGACTGCTCTTCTCGTAGTGACGAGCTGGCTTTCTTTCTCCTCAGCCTCTCCCGGGCAATAAGAGTTGGGTCTGACCAAGTGGGGGCCAAGAGGGAGGAGCTGGGGGAATCGAGGAGGGCCCGATATTCTTCGGCGAGTAGCGAGGCGCTGAAACGCCCCTCGTTTGCTAGGGCGTTTCGTGGTCGAGGAATGTTTGCACTTTCCAGCTGGCCGATGAATAAGATGGGTGTTTTTGCGCGCCGTTTTGGTGAGACTTGAGACGCCGGGGACAAGAAACCACTGCGGTCTGCATCGCTGACGGCAAGGTGGGAGAACTCCGGAATGATTCCGGCGGGTGGAAGTGGCCCGGGGAGATCTTCAGGTCCCGGTTGTACCCGCGGAAAAGATGACCATGGGTATTCCAACCATTCTCGCCCTTTGAATTCCGGTGAGACTGTCACGGGAGGCAGATGTGGGGGTGCTGCTGTGATGGTAATGCTGATGTCGGCAGTGGTGTTGCGGTGTTTTGAGGACTTGCTCTTGCCGTGAGTGTCCGATACCACCCTCCTCGAATCATCTTTGCGTTTCTGCCTCGAGACAGGTTTCCGAAGTTTGCTCCTCACTTTGGGCACCTTCTTGTTGGTGCAGGTCAGGAAGTGGAAGGCCTCTCTTGTTCGTTCCATTGCTGGCATGGTGTGAGTTGTATGGTGGTGATTTGACGATCAGACAGAGAGAGGACTTCTGGTGATGGTCAGTCAACATGAGAAGAGATAATGGGTGCAACACCGCTGGGGTAATAATAATAAGGGCACTTCATATTGAATGTGAAGCTTCATCACGAGGGCTGGATTTTGGAAAATATGACGACGTTGGAACGCCCATCATGTCACTCGTTTGATAGTGGATGGGGGACCTATGGCGTATTCCCACCCCCATGCCAAAACCGGATTTGGCTTCACTCAGCTCACAGGGCTGGCACCCTGAAGAGGGTGGTCAGGGAAAAAGGTCCGGGGAAGTGACGCATTGTCATTGGACATTGAATCATTCAACCATTCTGGGCTTCCAGTGTAAAGTCGAAGTCTAGAACGCAAAAAGATGCTGATTCTGGAACAACCCTTGAAAGCGTTCCTCGATGATCTCCACCAAGTCCCCGTGATCATCCAAGCTTTCTGACGCTTTTCACGGTTCGGTCCTTGCGGTAGTGTAGTTGATCGATGATCCGTACACGTGTATCGATTCCACTTATGCAGGAACGGAGGTAATTACTGTGTAAAAAAAGCAGGGAGAGCCTTCATCGTAACGGCCATCTCGATTGACGACACCGACGGGGCGAGGTTGAATGTGGAGCTGTGTGCTCATCAACGGTTTCTCGGCCACAAAAAGAAAAGGTCCAAGTTGCTGGTAATTGTTAGTGCATCTCGACGGTGTCAACCCTAACCCCAACATATGTGCCTGTCCATGACTGTCCAATGAGGTCATGTTGCGAGGCTTCCCCCAGATTCTTGGAACTGCTCAGAGACATTGTTTGAGGCGTTGAAGTCTGGTACCTTGGGGTAGATGCGTAACTGTCTGAGATATCATAGAAATAAGAATTGTGAGACCAGAGCCTCCACCTCTGCTGGCATGTAACGTGCCAGCTTGGAGGGAGGCTAGGCTCTACAAGAAACAGCGATGGGCTGACGACCAACTGGGCTATTACTTGTACCAAATGAAGGTAATTCATTGCCACTCCGGAAAACCATGTTTAAAAGTTATATCCCAGCAACGGTATGGATATATAAAAAAGAAAAGGGCACCTCGTGAATTGGGCGATCTCTGGAGGTGGCAATGTCTTCACTTCCCAGGTGCCAATCTGTACGGGAAATGATACACATAATCATAGTACACATCACCCCTGGTTTGTTCGTTAGCTTGGTACCTACTTACAAGGGTCTTGAACGGGGGGAACGACAAAGAGTAAATGCCTTATAATTATACCGATTATAGAAGGTAATAAAGTGAGAATTGTAATTGATTGGTGATTCTAGTAGTTTTAAGCTAGAATAAGAGGTTTGTGTGCGTGTGTGTGAATCCCTTCTGTCAACTCGTTCTAACGTTGAAATTTAGCGATTTCGGCCAATCAAATCGCACGAATAGACCTTTCTAACCGCATCACCCCCCTGTGGAAGGATGTGGGGCGTGTCCCGCGCTAACAAACAAACCAGCATTGATGTGTAGAACTTTAGTTTTCTGTAGTACCACTAGCTCCTCGGCTGTACCACGCTGCCCTTTCATATGATGCAAAACGAGGCTGTGAGCAGACGATCCAACAACACAAGGTTTCTAGAAATCTTCCATGACGATCAAGCAACCGTGACCTAGTAAAGCGGCGAACATTTTCCAACAGATCACAGCAGATCGACCTGAGTTTTGACTTGTGAGCTCAGTTGCAAGTCTATTATCCTTAGGCACATGAAAATCAAGGCATCAAATTTACTATCTTCTACACCTAGACTGTCCGGAGTTTGGGTCCCGTCATTCGAAGCAAGATTCAAAGTTGGGTTTGTTAATTGTTGCTCGTGATGGCAAATTAAAGTTTGGATTGATGAGACCGAAGCCTAGAGGTACTGTACCAATTTGGTCTTTTGCACAGACTCATCTCACTCGTGTAAACAGATGTCGTACCTCATCCGCTTTGACAGCCTGTCGTATCGTGCCCCTGGACGATCCGAACGCGGTCACTGACCAAGTGTTCGCAGATAATCGCCAGTTGCATGGCGCCGTTCCTGAGAATGACGATATTCACGTGTATTGTGTAAGTCTTGACTCGTTCGACTCAACTCACATACCTAACTTACCTCTACTCATCAATGACTCGAGATGGGAGCACATTTTTTCCTCCCAAAATACTCTTGATTGAGTTAGAGGCAGCATTGCCCCAAGTTGGACCTGCCGGAAGAATCCTATTTCGGACGCGATGCCTGCGATATCTTCAATGTCTGGTGACTTTGCGACCCTTGATAGCTTCTTCCCAAGAAGCTGAAGGAAGAAAGATGATGGGAATGGTTCAACCTACCACCAGTGACCCCCACTTGGAGGAGCTCTGTCCAGTATTTATCCATCAATCAGAAGGCTCAATTGGCGACAATATCAGTTTAGCCGAGTACTGGACACAAAGCGAGTTGACATTGGGTAAAAGAAGTCTTGCACTAACAGACATCCCCGAGGGTAACCCCACCATACCCCTCACAAGTGTCCCCTCTTCCCCAGTTTTCCCCCAGTTTACCCCAGTCTCCAACGGCCTTTAGTGTAGTGAAGATGACCCACGATGGGCAGCTTTTGGGCCTCGCGAATGATGAACCGAGACCGAGAAAGTATTTCGCTGGTTCGGGGGAATTATTGTTCTGTAGACTGAAATACATCTTGTCCCCCAATTCCTCAATGTCGTCGTTGTCGTCGTCGTGAAACAAAGCTGCTTCTGTCTTGCATCTCTCACCACCACCATACCACAACCTATTGAGGCCATTTCATACATACCTTGGAAAGACAGTCAACATGTCCGACCAAGAAATCACAATAACGGGCTGGACCACCCGCGATGTCCGCTTCCCCACCTCTCTCGACAAGACGGGTTCCGACGCCATGAACGCCGCAGGCGACTACTCGGCCGCTTACTGCATTCTCCAGACTGATTCCAAGTATACCGGACATGGCATGGTTCGTCCTTTCTCTTCCCGTTGTTCCCAATGTTTTCCCCTTTTCAAGAAAAGGAATAAAAAAATCATATAAACTAACACAATCTCTTTGACAGACCTTCACCATCGGCCGCGGCAACGACATCGTCTGCTCCGCCATCAACCACGTCGCCGACCGCATCCGCGGCCGCACCCTCTCCTCTCTCGTGTCCAACTGGGGCCAAACCTGGCGCCACCTCGTCAACGACTCGCAACTGCGCTGGATCGGCCCAGAAAAGGGCGTGATCCACCTCGCCTTGGGCGCCGTCGTCAACGCCCTCTGGGACCTATGGGCCAAAGTGCTGGGCAAACCCGTGTGGCGGATCGTCTCCGAAATGTCGCCCGACGAGTTTGTACGGTGTATTGATTTTCGGTACATCACGGACGCCATCACTCCTGAAGAGGCAGTGGAGATGTTGAAGGAGACTGAAAAGACCAAGACCGAAAGAATCAAAGACGCGGAGGCGAATAGGGCCGTGCCGGCGTATACGACGAGTGCGGGGTGGTTGGGGTACGGGGAGGATAAGATGAGGGCGTTGTTAAGGGAGACGATGGAGAAGGGGTACAAGCATTTCAAGCTCAAGGTGGGCGGTAGTGTTGAGCAGGATAAGAGACGGCTGGGGATCGCGAGGGAGGTGATTGGGTATGATAAGGGGAATGTCCTGATGGTGGATGCAAACCAGGTCTGGAGCGTGCCGGAGGCGATTGAGTACATGAAGGAGCTGAAGGAGTTTAAGCCGTGGTTCATTGAGGAGCCGACGAGCCCGGATGATATTTTGGGTCACAAGGCGATCAGGGAGGCGCTGAAGGAGTATGGGATTGGGGTGGCTACGGGCGAGATGTGTCAGAACAGGGTGGTGTTCAAGCAGCTGTTGATGAGCGGGGCGATTGATGTGTGCCAGATTGATGCGTGCCGGATGGGAGGCGTCAATGAGGTGTTGGCGGTGTTGCTGATTGCGAAGAAGTATGGCGTGCCGATCGTGCCGCATTCGGGCGGTGTTGGGTTGCCTGAGTATACGCAGCACTTGAGCACGATCGACTATGTGGTGGTGAGCGGGAAGAAGTCGGTGTTGGAGTATGTGGATCATCTTCATGAGCACTTTTTGTATCCGTCGGTCATCAAGGATGGGTACTATCAGACCCCCACCGAGCCTGGGTATTCCGTGGAGATGAAGGCGGACAGCATGGATCGGTTCGAGTATCCTGGTGGTGAGAAAAGCTGGTGGAGGACTGAGGAGGCCAAGCCTATTCTCGAGGGACCCAAGTTCTAGCCAAAAGCTAGCGATGTAGCGATAGATTGAAAATCATGGGTTGATGTTCGTCTTCTTGGTGTTGTTCACTCCTTGACGTGCCCAGCTGTAGCAACGTCCAAAATCTCCTTTTCCATTCCCTCGACATGAACAACCTCGATGCCGGCGTCCTTCAGAGACTTCCTCCCCGTGTTTTCCTGAACAAATTTTTCAGGTTCCAGAATCCCAACATAGACCGTCTTGATACATCCAGCCAGCCTCAGCACCCTCTCCACACATGGCAAGTTCCCGCTCAAGCGCTTGGAGCACGGCTCAACAGTGGTGTAGAGAGCCAAGTCTGAGGGCAGGACCTCACCCAGCTTCTCCTCGGGGACACCATGCTGATGGGCCAGTTTCATGAAACAACATTGTTCGGCATGCGTGTTGCCTTCTAGTTCCAAGGTGTACCCGGTCGCCAGAATGGTGTTGGAGGGGACATCCACGACGACGGCTCCCACCCGGTAGTTGGTAGGTTTTGGAGGCGACTTTTGGGCCAAGGAGAGGGCCAGGCGCATGAATTCCTTGTGGTCTCCTGGTTGGATTGAGGACGCCATCTTGAGACTTGCTGTTGGTTGATGACGAGGGAAGAGAGAGGACAATTGGCAGCGCCGAACTGCCAACACCTCGGGGACTTCCACCGGCCCGTCGTTGCCGCTGACAGCTGTCGGTCCAGTCTGTCATTCACAACGACATCACAGACCCCACCCCCACATTCACGGACCCCTGTTCAACCGATAAGATAAGCCGCGTCGTCGCGTCTCCCCAGAAGCAGTGATTATTCTAAATCACCAACTGAACAATCGATCGCATCGCATCGTCAGAATTAGAATATCCGCGTATTTTCGAAACCTGGTTGTACATTTTCAGGTCAAAATGCCACGTCCCAGCAAAAAAGCCGCGAAACCGCCTTCCGACTCCGGCGAAGATGACCACGACGAACATGACCTCTCCGACGTCGAAGAACCCCCCACCATCGACCCTTATGAGGTCCTTGGTCTCGAGCGCGATGCGACAGCCGACCAGATCAAGACTGCGTATCGGAAGTCTGCGTTGAAGAACCATCCTGGTATGTTTCCATTTCCCTTTTCCATCTCCATTCCCAATTCCCTTTTGCCTCTTCTCCTCCAGTCCTCACCCCTCCTCTTCTCCCACCAGCATCTTCCCTCATCCTTCTTTCCACTATTGCTTCCTCATACCACTATGCTAACCCCATCTCCATTTATGTAGACAAAGTTCCAGCCGAACAAAAGGACTCCGCCACCGCCAAATTCCAACAAATCGCCCTCGCCTACGCCATCCTTTCCTCTCCCACCCGCCGCCAACTCTACGACACCACAGGCTCCACCTCCGAAACCCTCGCTTCCGATGACGGTTTCAACTGGGCCGAATACTACAAGTCCTGTTTCGCCGATTCCATCTCCCCCGATACCATCGAAGCCTTTGCCAAGTCGTACAAAAACTCCGACGAGGAACGAGCAGATGTCCTGGCCGCTTACACCGATTTCGAGGGTGACATGGACGGGGTATACGAGACCGTGATGCTCTCCGACGTTCTGGAAGATGATGAGCGGTTTAGGACTTGGATTAATGAAGCGATAGAGAAGGGGGAGGTGGAGGCTTATCCGAGTTATACCAAGGAGACGAAGAAGAAGCGGGCGGCGCGAGTAAAGGCTGCGAGGGGCGAGGCTAAAGAGGCGGAGGAACTTGCCAAGGAGTTGGGAGTTTATGATAAGCTTATGGGTTCCAAAGCTGGAGATGCGAAGACGGCGACAAAGGGAAAGGCGGGGGCTAAGGGAGGTAAAGGCAAGAAGGACGATGGTGAAGGTGCCCTGGCTGCGTTGATCTTGGCGAGACAGCAGAGTAGGGGGGATATGTTTGATAAGCTCGCTGAGAAGTATGGAGCTAAGCCGAAGGGGAAGGGAAGCAAGAGGAAGGCGGAGGAGCCACCGGAAATTGATGAGGCGGAGTTTCAGAGGATACAAGCTGGGTTGGGCAAGGGCAGTTCGTCAAGTGGCGGAACGAAGAAGGCGAAGAAGAGAAAGGCGTAAGTAAGTGCTTGGTTGTCCGATTTTGGTTCCAGGTGGATGCAACGGGTCAAAGGGGTTTGGAGTTCCGGTTTCTCGAAATGTTTTGTTGTTTGGTTCAAGTATGGTGTTCTGGTTATGGATGTTTCAAGAATACCAATTAAGCGTTGCGAGTTTTGTTCAACATCAGCACATCAATCATTCATGCAACAGCAGGTGACTCTGACAAGTGCTGGTTGTTCACAGGTTGGCTAGCTCGAAATATGTCTTTACCACATTTTCTTCATACTGCCGATTCTTTTGCTGAACGCTCAGTCCGAGGCAAACCCAGCGAGTTTACCCATGTTTCATTATTCACAAGCGTCTATTTGTGGGTATCATGACCTTCAACATTAAAACCCTTCCAACTCCTACCTTTCCCATTTCCACCCTCTTCGCCTCTTTATCGGCAACCCTAACCGTCCCCACCATATTCAACTCCACCTTCGAATCATCATACTTTTCGCTCAGATGCGTCGCAGTCCTTGTGTTGATATCGTGGTTATGGGAAAGTCGAAGCTGCGTGGGAGAAGGAGGTGAAGTTGAGAAGACTTCGACTTGAAGAGTTCCCCAGTCTTTCTGCCTCCAACGCAGGAAAACAGCTGGTTGCTTCTTCACTCTCAATCCATCATTCCACATCTCTTCACTCTCACTTTCCATAGCGAAAGTCTGGTTATGTTCGATTCCTATTACTGCTCAGTAACAAGGAAGTGTATCGCATGGTCTCCTCGATCATCGGCATACGTCCAGTATTACTGATCGACGGTGTATATCGGTATATTCCAACGCCAACATGCTTAATCACGATCCTCAAATACCCATACTTAAATCAAAACATCATCTATCTACATCGCGTCATCATAGCAACCAAACAGCCAACATATTCAACCCAGCCAACACCGCCGCAGCCGTAACCCCAACATCCAACCCACTCGCCGCACTATCATCATCATCATTCCCATTTCCATCCCCCGAACCTCCTCCCCCACCAGTCCCCGTCGGCAACCCAATCCCTCCCGTACTAACCCTCGTCCCCGCCGGTCCCGGTCCAAAATCCGAGTTCGTTACCGCCGGCCCACTCCCCCCCGCCGTCCTCGTCGGCGCCCTCGTAGCCGTAACATCCAGTCCCCCACCCCCAGCCGTCTTCGTCGATCCCGCAGAACCATCCTTACACTTGCCCGTGCTAGACAGCACCGCATCCTGCCCACTTCCAATCTCCACGATTTGCTCTCCGCAATTCGCCGCCTGCGCCAGATGCAAGTTTCGATTATCCTGATCAAACACCACATACGCCGCTCTCAGGAACGAATCCCCAAACACGGGCTCGTCATCCGTCGGCAGGACCCCCACCACACACACCCCCGTTTGCACTTCCCAGATGAAATCACCATAAGGAACCCGAATCTTTTTAGCTGATGTAGACGATCCAAAAATGAAATCAACCGAGCCAGCTTGTTCCGCCACCGCGCAATCAACGATATAAAACCCTGACTCGGTATCATACTGACTGCCAGGGAAACTATCGCCAATAGCTTGAAAGATCGTTTCCGGCAGCCGAGACAACGTGCCACCTGAGTCCAGAAAAACAGGGACGCCAATCTCTTCGGACTCGACTTCCTCTCCGTCGGGGTACGTCATGCCTACGCCTGACAAAACGATCCAGTAGCGGTCGACGCCCGAGGGAGTCTGGGAGGGATCGAGCATGGGCAGTTTGGCGAGGCTGCCGGAGAACTTGCCGAGGTCGACGCCGCCGAAGATGATGGCGCCCGAAGGGTTGTCGATGCTGCGCAGATCGAGCGAAAAGGCGCGCGAGGAGATGATGCCCTGAGAGGCCATGGAGTCGAGCAGGTAGGGATAGGGAGATTGGCCGTCGGGGGAAACGGAAGGGGAGAGGCCGAGGATCCCAAGGGGGATGTCGATGGATTCGAAGCCGATACCGAGGATTTGGGATTTGATTTTGGCGGCTGTTGGTGGTTGTTAGCTTACTGGCACTGAAAACAACAACAAAAAAAAAAGGGGGGGGGGGGGACGAAAGGTACGTACACCCGATAATCACATCATCAGTCACATACTCAATCGTCACATTCCCTTTACCATATTTCAAAATATCCGCTGCCCCTGTATCCTGAATCGTCTTGCTCTTGGTGTAGTCAAACTGCCGAAAACTGTTGCAGTACTTCTCCTGGCCCGAAGTCTCACATTGCGGGTTCACCCACAGATCCGGCGACCCCGTGTCCAAGATGAGCGTCACAGTCTGCGGAGGCGTCCCGATGTCAATGTCAATGGTATAAGTCGTGCCTAGGTTCTGGTTCTTCAGCCCTTCGTCTTCCTGTCTCCGTCGAAGCTTGGGAGGAGCGCCGTGGGCGGCGTGGACGGAGGCGCGGACGAAGCCATTGCCGTTGCTGCTGCGGGATGTGAGTGAAGGACTTGAACGGTGTCCTTGGGCGGGTGAGATTGGGAGTTTGATGGGTAGGTTTGGTGATGCCAAGACTCCTGCTGCTGCTGGTGAAAGCAGGGATACATATAGGGAGAGGGTGGTGAGAGGTAGCATGATGATGGAGGTTGAACGGGGTGCTCAACAACGGCCCGAGAGTTGTATGAAACCAGACATAGACGACCAGCATCAAACTCTCGATGAGACTGAGAGAGAGAGCTGGAACCATGGGATCTTTTATGTGAATGGCTTGTAACCCATCTATCTACCTACCAAAAATGGAACAGAACCATCCATCCATCCATGCTACGCTTACGAAGCTATTGGGCTTTGGGCTTCAGCCCCAGCTTCCAGTTTGCAAGCTGTATACCCTTTTCGTACCACCGAGAATTTTAGCTAGAGTACATACACTACCAAGCCTAGGCAGGCTGATAGCGTGGGATTGACCTGGCATCTTGTCCAGTCAGACCAGTCCTTGTCTCGGCTCTTGTCCAGATGAGGGATCCAGGAGGCGATTTTCCAACACTCGATGGCGCATCGTGACACCCAATGAGCTTTGAGAGGTGGTCGACTGGAGGGTGGCTGTGACAGGGGTATATGGGGGGCATCAACATGCAGACCATGATCAGGGTCGTACTGTAGTGTCAAGTTGTTGATCCATGTTGTAGACGGATGCCCGGCAGACGGCTCAGCCTCTTTTCAGTTCTTGTCTCTTTGTCTGTTTCTTTTTGTCTTTTAGCTGGTGTTATGTACTGTGCACGCCTGTATCGAGCTATCCTCAGCCCCTGTGGCTCTGATCCGGGACGGACGCATGTTGTCGGCTTTTTTTTTGGATTGAAGTCGTTATTGGTTCGTTCATTTCAGGTTTGGAGGATGTTCTGTTCCTGTTAAGCAGAAGGAGGAAAGACAGAGGTGGGTTGGCGAGGGAAGAGTGAGGTGGGATTGACTTTGTTCAGCTGGTGCGACGTCAATAAACGAGCAGGTTGAGATATGTGATAAGTGAGGATTGAGGTTCGTTTTTGAAGAGTCTCGAGCCTCGTCTTACTACAGTTTTTTCCTCACGCTGAGTTCCTTCTCTTTACCTACACTCTGTTCTGTCTCTTCAACCTAGAGTCTTGTCCCAACTCATGTCACAACCCAGCCTTCTTTCCTCCCAACACCCCTTCGCCTCATAGTTCCCGTCCTTAATCCTGCAGAATTCACGTTTCGTCAACGTCCATTGTAAAAGCCACACTTTTGTTGCTTGGCATTGATCCCCACCCCAGGCAACCTCAACCCCTTCAAGCCCCTCCATTCATCCAATGTCACCCATTCTCACTCTCTCTCCCCGCACGCTAGAAGGCCGCTAGCGGTTTCTTACATACAGGCGAGTCAAACCTTGTTTCCAGGGCTTGGTTAGGTTGTTCCATCCTTTCCGCATTTGACTTGAAGATTTTATGTACACCAAAAGTGTCGAGATGACGGTGAACCAACGGTCATATGTGATTCGTGATGGGGAATGCTTGTTGAGCTGAGTGAGCGTACCTGTAATGAGATCAGAAAGCCTCAAAAGACAGCGCTGTCAGCATAAACAAAGCCTCAAGTAGCCTCCACCAGACCACCACTGCGGGACAGTTAACTGGGCAGTGTCACATCACTCACTGTCGCTGTCATTGTCATCGTCACTGGCACGTTTCCGTTCTTTCCAGGGAGGCACCTTTCTGCAAACCAGACATCGGACCCTCAACCACGAGCCATCACTATCACTACCTCTATCACCATCATGCCGAACACTTCAACCCAGGCTACCAGCCTTCCACTTCTCGGTGCCAGCCTCTTCCCGCCGGTACCTGACAATCCGACAGCACACGACATACCAGAAATACACTACACCAGCATAATCATCAAGGCTGGTCTAGTCTGGTCCATTGCATGTGCTCACCGTCCCCCTCATTTGCCCAAACACACATCGATAACGTGCTGATCGCTGGTGTCACACAACTCAAGTGTCACACAAGCCCACCACGAAAGGGAAGCAAGGAAAGCCACGCATCGAAGCGAGCAAAGCCATAAAGTATGTATTGAAGATCTGGTCCACTTTTGGCACGGTAGGAGGGTAGGTAGGTAGGTAGGTACGGCCTTCCACGCTATGCCTCCCGTCGCTCGGTCTTTCGCTTTGGGATAGCTTTGCGGTGTTGTTCTCATTGGCGGGTTATTATCACGGTTCATGTTGTCAATTGGCAGACCGCATGGTCGCATGGGCGCATGGTTCATCCAAACTTGAGGTTAGTCGGTCGGGTCAGTGCCGACCACCTAGACTAGTGAACTAAGATAGATTTATAACTAAACCCTTATGCCAAATAAAGCACGAGTCACTTGTACACTCTTCCTACTCGACACCTCACGGGTACGATACCCAGGGGCAGTTGATACAAAGTACCTCTGTGACTAGCGGATGTAGGTCAAGAAGAGTCAAGACAGATCAATCACAAAATGTGAAGATAAAGAATTCCGACGGCGAGTTGCCCCTCGAGGGGTCCCAGTTGAGAACTAACCGTACTTATACAAGAAACCTAGATATCGAGAGTATTTCAATAACATTATTCTTTATCTAGGTGGGTGGGTATCGAGAAAGAGGAGATCTTGCAAACAACGAACCAAGACAACGCAAAAAAAAACAAAGTACCTAAACGGATAAGTAAAATCCAAACACAATTACCACAGCATAAATCTTCAACACAGATTAAAAGAAAAAGAACAGAGCAGCTCAAAACAAAATTCCAGTATCTTTTATGGATTCGATTATACCTTGTTTCGACAAAACATTTGTGACGGCTTTCTCTGATGCCTCATTTCTAAAAACCCCCCAACCAACACCAACCCCACCCTCCCGTTTGCGCCCGTGAACCAACTCTTCCCAATGAGCCAACTCCCTTCAACATGGCGCTGATGGATGATGATCATGATGATGATATGTATGACATGGACAAATGTGGAAAGACGATGATGTATGCACCCAATGATACCCCTGAGATATCCTCCTAGTCTTCTTCTTGTTGTTGTTGGAGGTCCTCCCTTGTAGTGTAGTTTCGTTATATATGGCCGTGATATCCTCCTCCTTCATTTTTCATTCGTCTCTTCTCTACCCCCCCCCATTTATTTAACCAACAACAACCCTAGCCCCTTCCTTACCCAGCACTCCCCTCTCTTTCGGTTTGGGACTGCTCCCTCTCCCCTTCTTTCCTCTAAACAATCCAAAAATGCCTCCACCTCCACTGTCTTTCCCACCAGCGCCCCCACCGAGTGCAGCCGCCGCATCCGTCGGCAGTGTGGCATCTTGCCTGGCCAAATCGCTCCAGCTACCCCCGCCATCCAGTGTTACCTGCACACCCCCCGTCGGACTCCCCACCATCAACGACGACGATCCGTTGCCCCGCCCCTGACGAACCGGGGTGGTGTATGACTGCGGGTAAGGAGGTAATGGTGGAGGACGGCTAGCCGGGACGCCGCCGCTGCGGCCTGGGCGGTGCGAACTGGTAGGTCGGGGACCGACGGCGGCCCGTTGCGAGTCGTAGGCGTTGTAGCCATGGGAATGTGAGTGGGCGCTTTGAATCGAATTGCTTCGTTCGGGGTTCTTGGGAATCGAGTTGCTTCGTTCGGGGACGTTTCGTTCGGTGTTCTTTGGCATCGAGTTGCTTCTCTCAGGAACGTTTCGTTCAGAGCTTTTGGGCATCGAGTTGCTTCGCTCGGGTATGTTTGGGTTGTGAGCCACTTGCCCGTTGGGGGCGTTAGAGTGTTGGAAGGAGGAGTGGCTGCCGTTGGGGTGGTGGGTTTGCACCGCTTGTGAGTGCGAATGCGCGTGCGAGGTCATCTGTGTCGCTTCGTCTGTTGTAAGGGCTTGTGCCGGGCGGGCGTTTTCGTCTGTCACGGGGGTAGGCTGGCCGTCGGGTGTCTCGGCTTGTCCTTCGGTAATTCTGGGGTTTGTTAGCATGGTGATCGTAGTGCAAAGAATGTCGGACATACTTCTTGTAGGCAGCTAATGTGTAATCGAAGGGACTAAAGTCGGTCTCAATCATCCGGTAGAGTTCCTCTTCACGGATCTCCTTCTCTGTGGCGTCATCCTTTAGCTTCTCGCGCGGCTTCTGCCTTCTTGCACGAGCTTCTAGTGGTGCTTCTTCCAGTAGAAGTTCCTCCAAATCGTATGTGGCATCAAAGTTTGTCTTCTCTGATGACGGGACGAATACGGGCTCTACTTGCTTCCTCTCTAGGGCGTCAAAGTCGATACCAGAGAAGAACTCGTGGTAAATGAAGCTCTCCCAGGTGTGACCCAGACGCTTATCGGGGTTGAACTCCAAAGCGTCCTTTATGGCGTACATACAGCTCAACTGGACTGGAGGCTGTGTTACCGGGAATCTGGGGTTGGCGGCTTGGATAGTCTGGCTGAGTGACTGTTCGGAGTTGCCCTCGAATGGCCTCTGATGGTAGAGTCGGTCAGCATGGCTTGTCTTGTCAAGTGAGATGGCGCAGCAAGACAATGTAGTCTGCCATTCCCCGAACTCTGAGGGTACGTACCTTGTTATAGATGCACTCGTAGAACAAAACACCCAACGACCACCAATCAGCACGGACATCGTAGCCCTTGCCAGCATAGACTTCTGGGGCAAGGTATGCCAAGGTACCGGACTTGCTCGTTAATGTCCTTCCCGGCACAATGTCCGAAGCAACATTCTGAGAGCGTATATTATTAGCGTGGTTACACAAAGATAGGGGCCCAGGGTTTGGAACTCACAAAGTCAGTCAAATGTACATGGCCATCAGCATCGAGAAGCACGTTGTCGGGCTTGACGTCTCTGTGGATGATGTTTTGCCCGTGGATGTAGCGCAAGGCACAGCCGAGCTCTGCAATCCAAAACCTTACCGCCGCTTCGGTAAAGGTCTTTCTCGAGATGTGGAAACGTAAATCACCGCCGCTCATGAGGTCAACAACCAAGTACCTGGTCCACTGTCAGCTGATTTTTCCGCCAATGTCGAGCTTGGTGGCAACATACATGTACTCGATATCCTGAAAGCTGTATCGCAAGTTGCAGATAAAGGGGTGGTTGACATGTTCGAGCATTCGCCGTTCTCGAATGATATTTCTAACACTTTCGGACCGTACAACTAGGGAGGGTCAGCCATTGTGCCGTGGGATACTCGAAAAGTCGTACAAGACCTACCTTCATCTTTTCTAATGTATTTTAGGGCGAATGTCAGACCGGTATCTTTTCGCTCGACAATGCGCACCTTGCCAAAGGCACCTCGACCGACTACTCGCAGGAGACGGAAGTGGTTCAGGTTCACTGCGACATAGGTTCAGTCAGCATTGCAACCTGACATCATCTGGTCATTTCAGCCCAAGGGAGAAAATCGTCTTACCTTCGCCGTCAAGATCGACGGGCTTTCCCTGGCTGTTTCCCATCCCGCCCTGCCGACAGCTGCTCTAGATGCGATGACAAACGCGGCTGACTAGGTACCCTTCTTTTCAAAGTATATAAAAAATCGAACAGGATATTCAGGCGACACAGTCCATGCCGGGGACAGCTGAGAGGGCTGCTGGTAGTTGGAAGTGTTGCGTGTGCCTGGTGCTGTGCTTGGCTTGGTGGGTCTGTCACAAGTCGCCAAGTGGGAACCCAAGATTAATGATTATTCGGGTTTCAGGTCTTGGCACTAGTCGAGTCCAGCAGCGCACGAAGTAGTTTTGGAACGGCAGACGGCCCGAGGTTGGACTCTTTATTCTTTCGGGTTCGAAGCGGCGATATTCCGTCTCTTCGTTCCTGAACACGCAATCTGTGTGTGTGGAGTGTGCTGGCTGAAATCCTCTTTTCTGTTTGTCTACGTCACGCACGGTACGGACTGGCCGCAGCGAATGGCGAGGTCGGATCGAAAGTTGAGGATGACCGTTGGTCGAGACCACCGCGGTGGACTGGCGGGTACGGTTGTCTATTTGTCTGAGGTGGCGGTTGACTTTGCGCGCTTCGTGAACACACACGAAATCTGGACCCTGGATCTTGGGGCCTATCGTATGCGACTAACAAATGTTATTTGGTATCGATGGCGGAATGCGGTGAGAAGCGATTGGCGAGCGAGGATGTGAAACTTGCGAAACTCGATTGAGTGTGGTGGACGGCAGCTGGTGGTGGTGTGGTCGTCGTCGTCGTTGTTGCTGTTGTGGTCGATTCGACTCGAGTTTCTTGGAGTTTCGTGGACGTGAAAGATGAAAAGGACAGAGCCGGAGAATGGTGAGCACTAGCAGACTACTGAAAGACACGAGCGAGGACTTTGGAGGAAGCGGGGACAAGCGGAAGAAGCTCCAGGCTCAACCAGCCAGGTCTTGGAACGAGTCTCGGGAAACGGGGGGGTTTAGGCCGGAATGAAGAGCAGCGATAGTAGTCTATCTTTCGTTTTAGTGGAGGGATGGATCGAGGTCCCCGTCGCTTTTTTAGTGCCGCAATGGGGGAGATCTGAGGTGACCCCGTTGTCAATTGCGAGGGGGAGAGTGCTGGGTTGGGGTGACGACGGGTCGAAATTATGTTTGCTTTTGGTGTGCTTTGTTCATAGTACTGTACCGACCTAAGCTGAAGAGACCGACAACGAAGACCGTCGACCACGAAACGGAAGCATGTGGGTTGGACAGCGGCGGCGACAGGATGCAATGCCAATGCGTGTGGATGGCCCGATGACTGGAGTCCACGCAGTAAGTAGCCGGGGACACCAAGGAAGACTGGACGGACGGGGGCGGCAACGGACGGAAAGAAAAGAGACAATTGACACGACAACAACGGAAAGCGGTCCGTGGTGGTGCAGTGGTGGTAGGTAGGTAGTACCTCTAGTGAGTGGTGGTGCCCTGGTCGCATGTCCTTGGGTTGTTGTGCAGGTGGGTGGTGGGGACCACCTCTAACAGCTAAAATGATCAGTGACCAGTGGTGGCCCGCGCAAAAGGCAGCCTCCGTGGGTACCCTGACATGCGCCAGATTAGTGGCCAATGCCCACCACTGTCCAGGGCCATGTTTTACACGCCCCATCCCAGCCAGACGGGCAAACGGTACAGATGGGAGATCCACTCCCGAGATAAACACCATTCAGCGCCCGCCAACCATATGAGGGGATGGTCTTTGATATTGTGTGTCTTTGCGAGATTCCGAGGTTCTGAGAAAATGGCGATTGTGATTGGTGATAATAGGGTAAACTCCAAAATGCCCCTATTTTGATATGTACCAGGTATCTATGTCTTGTGGTGTTTGAAGAGACTGAAGTTGACATGTCAATCCTCCCCCTTTTGCCTTTTCTATGACCTCTAGTGTAGAGCCTCGCTGTTGGAGAAAGAGGGGGGGGGGAGAGACAGCGAGAGAGATACAGATCCACCGATTGACTGCAGGCTTCCATATGATTTTACTGCTCCTTGCTTCTCCCACGCTTTCTTTCTCGTGGTGAATATTTTAGTTGTCCGCTGTCATCTGCAAGTACGTAAAAGACAGAAAAAGTGAAATGGAATATTCCGCCAACATTCCAAATTTCCAAGATCTCAATCTGGGGAAACTGAAACTGACACCGACAGTCGCATCGCAAGCAACGCAACATCATGATCACAAGCTCCTACATTTTAGGCAACCAGCCCCTGCGTCCTGCGTGAAACCATGTCAGGTCCATGGCAGGATGCCAGGCGGGCAGTGTGATGAGATGCGGTTGCCCTGCGCAAAATGTGTGACGCCCAGAAAAGTGCCCGCCGACAGAGCGTGGCCATCGCGTGGGAAACTAAAATAAAAAAAATAAAAAAAGCGCCAGTCTGGGCATTCGCCTCAGGCTGCCTGGGCTGCTGGGCTGGGCTCACCACCACCACCACCACACCCACACCCACCTGGCGTCCTGGGCGAGCTCCTCGTGGACAGTGGACTGTTTCGAGTTTAGCGGATGGACGAGCGTTACCTGGTAATAATGCCCTGCCAACTCTCTTTTTTATCTAGGCGAGCGCCAAGCAACCCTCCACTCCCCAATTTCCCTTTCTTTACCTGCAAAACTGAAGCGGAAGCCTCAAAATATCCTCGGTTCCTCACTCGCTCGCTTCCACTATTTATCCCCGTAGTGTGTACACTAGGAAATCTCCAGTTTAAACGTTAGCCGGACAAGTCCGAAACCGGTCGGTGGTGGTATCGTGCTTTTCCAGGCTAGCTCGGTTCCGACATGACGGTCCATACATGAAAAGTCGAAGCGCGGTGAGAGTGGCGTCTACCATAACCAACGGAACACGCTGACCACGTCACCGGTAACTCACAGTTCGTTCGTTTTTTTTTTTGTTGGGGGAACATGTGTTCGGTCGGTTTCCCGTTTTCCTACACTACCTTGTCACGTTTTGTGCGCGTGGTGCCCATGTCTGCCGGGAGACAGGATGAAACTTGTCCCCGAGAAGAGGAAACCATCCAGAACAATGCGCATACCAGCAACATCCCCGCATACAAGTTACCGAAATAGACGAAACATTGATTTCGCAGAAATGAGAAGAAAAAAAAGAAAAGAAAAAGAAAATCGACGAGTCATATTTTCGTTAGAGTTCACGACATTATGCGTTTGACGTGTGTTCAGCAGGACAAAGACACCTTTTTTGGTCATGAATATCACGGAAACCGACATTGATCCTTCCTTCTTGCTTGCTCTGAAACGGACCATGGGATGGGTGGGTTGTCATCGGCACCAGCAGACGCAGATCAGATTCGATCATCACAGCGTCTCGTCATTTTACTTGCACACACACCATGCTGATACCAAGCCATCGATGCTTCACCGCAACAAAACCCGAGAGAAGACCGCAAAGTGTACACGTGTAGAGGTGCCCCCCCCCCCCCC